ACACACGCCTGGTGTGAGTTTTAAGCCACCGGGTCCGGGACGCAAACCGCGGTCGACTACATGGGATTCCAGCAACATAGCCATTATGCTAACTGCTGGCTCCCAATAAATAATTCTTTAAAAAAAGAGAGAGAGAGGGACTTATTCCTAAGTCACAACCCAAATGACCTGTATTTCCATACTCTCGAGAGTGTACTACCTTTTTCTCTAAAGAACTGCTTAAAGGTTGGATTGTAATCCTCTGCCAATTATTATTTTTTGTGTGTGTGAGAGGTTTTTGCTATAGGGCGTGTGCACTTGCCAGAAAGAGAGAGACAGAGAGACAGAAAGCGAGAAATCACCCCCTGGAGGGATGGCCACGCCGCAATCCTTTCTCCTCTTGGGATCTTGGGCACACACGCACACACACCCGGCGTGCGTTTAAGCCACTGGTTCCGGAACTTGAACTGTGGTCGACTACATGGGACTCCAGCAACATGCTCATTGCACTAACTGCTGGTCACAGCCAATTGATTTTTAAAATTTTATTTATTGTTATTTATTTTTTAATTTGACCTCAAAGAGAGAAAGAGAAAGTGCGAGGGCAAGCCACCAGGTCTGGGACTCAAACCACGGTCGGTCACATGAGAGTCCAGCACCATAACCACCATACCACCTGCCAGCCCCAATAATTAATTTAAAATTGTAGAAAATTCTTTAGAAAACATTGGGTTGGGCAGTTTTTCTACCATGTTCAGAGTGGTTTCAAAAATCAATGGACACATCTATATTTCTCTGTTGAATATGTGCAGGGCTAATGACAGACTGCAGCCAATTTTGATTCAAGCAATAGATACTCTCTTTGGTCCACTGTCTCCCATGTGCCTCATTGCCTGTTGTCCTCTCTTCTCCCCCCAGGAATTCTGAGTTTAGAGAACAAGCTGACAGCCTGTTGAGAGTAGATGCCGTAAGGGGGTGCAGTGTGAGTAGGAGAGAGAGCACTGGGAGGCAGATCCCATACTTGAGACCTGCTTCTGCTGCTTGCTGTGTGGCCTTTGTCATGACACCGACCCTACGGTCTGCCTCCCAAGCTTGCCAAGGAAGAGCATGCCCACAGAACACCAACACGCTTTCCACATGAAGTGGTGTTATGAAAACTTCAAACACAAGACCTGGGCAGCAGAACATAGGAAGTTTTTAATGGGTCTGTCCCCTGGCTTTATTGCCATCTTTTTTTTTTTAGAATCTTGAGTATTCTAATGCTAATTTTTACAGTTATCTATTGCTCTTAGACACAAGTTTTCTAATCTTGTTATTATATGGAAAATGACAGGCTCGATGTGGTCAAAGTTAGTGGGTTAGGTCTCAGGATGGCTTCTCATAGTTTTGATCCAGTGACCTGGTGTCCCAGTTTACCAGGGAATTGCACTGGCACAGTTAATAGTGCTACCTCTCACTCACGAGTAACTTGATAGGGTTATAAATGATGTGATCACCCTAGGTTTTAGTTACGGTAAGTTAGTATCACAACCTGGGCCTAAGAACTGGCACTATTCCTGCTTTGCCCACCACCCCTGTCTTATTAACACTGCTGAAACTAAGTGCATGGGCAAGCAGCAGAATGAAAGTCAGCCTATTGCTTTTCTGTTGACTTGTTCCAAAGGACCTTTGGAATGGCTGTTTCATTTTGTAGTCTGCGTCCTGCATCCACATCTTACCACCAACTGGCTAATAAGCCTGAGACAGAGGAGAGTGTCTTAGTGAAGCCGCCGAGTAAGAGTAGACCCTGGCTTTCTTGTCGAGCAGGCAGCAAAGAAAAGAAGGTAGAAATGCATATAATATTTAACACCCACCTAGGGGTTTTAATGGCCCCTAATAAATATGGTCCAGTCATCAGTCCCTGAAGCTAACACGCAAATTTTAGGAGAGGGGACTTGACTTCACCCCTCTCTCAGCCCCCCATAGATCAGTCCACCTTATCAGAGTAGAATTGCTAATTCTTGCTTAGATAGCATTAGCTTTCTGCAGTGATTTTGGAAAGGAAAGAAATGCCCTTTTCTGCAATTGAATGTGACCTGGGACTAGGCGTCCTTTAGAGAGACATAATGGCATTGTGCTTCAAGCCATCACTTGGACACTAGATACTCCTAGGTCTGTTAAATCCCAGTGTCAGCACCACTTGACAGCTATGCAGCCTTAGCAAGTCTCTTAATCTCCATAAGCAACAAAATAATGAATCACTTGCAGTTCTGTGGGCAAGATGGCCTGGGCTAAGACAGCCGGGGATTCACAGATGCCTTCACAGGAGCTGCTTGCATAATGGGAGCAGCTGCTGCCTGGCTGGCCTGCAGTGTAGTGGATACAGCCCCGGACATATCCCATTCAGAGCCTCATGTTTCCCATTTCCCAGGCCTATCTGCCTTTGCACTGCAACACTGTGGGAGTGAAACTAAGTCCCTACCTCTTTTTAGTTATAACTGCCCTCGCAGGGTTGCTGGAATTAGTGAGTACATACTGTCAGTAGCACACACTATTGACAAAACAGGATTGGAAATAAAACACTTCACAGCAGAATCCCCCCCTTAGAAACAGTCTAGTTTGGTGAATGTTGTGATGAGCTGCTTGGGGCATTGGGTGCTGGCAGGGTGGGGAGAGGAGTGGAGGCGGAAGATGGCTCCCTGGGGAGCTGAGGAATAA